GGAGAGGGAGAAGCAGACTCCCTGCTGAGCAGGGAGCCCGATGTGGGACTCGATCCCAGGACTCCAGGATCATGACCTGAGCCGAAGGCAGTCGCTTAAACAACTGAGCCACCCAGGCGCCCCACCTCCTCTACCTCTTGTCCCTGATGTGCTAAGGACAAAATCAGTTGCGCTGGTATTTAATTAGGCATGTTCAGCTTCAGCCACCGTTTCTTCTTTCCTTATTCTTCATGTTTACAGTATGGCCAACACTAGAAGTCTCCTCTTTCCCTTTTCCACCCTGATCTTTTTCACTTGCTAGCCCGTCTAAATGACATTTCTTTTCTTCCTCTTTAATACTTTAATACTTAACTCTTTATCACAATCTCCTGTGGGCCCACCAACGGGGGAGGCGTTCGCTAGCCCTAACACCAGGCCTCCTATTCCTATAGTCCCCTGAAATAGTTGCTAAAAATCTAAAAATCTCTTTTCCCAACACCAGGGGGTGTCTTCTAGTCCTCTTTCTGTCCTACCCGGACGGTAGAGATGAGTCCCAACCCTCCTCCTCGTTTCTTTTGCATAGACACCAAAGCTCCTTCCCTCCCTACCGGCGCAGAGCTTTGGGTTCAAAAAGTGGTGTCCTTTTATTGCAGTTTATATGTTGGGCTCTCATTCTGTCTGGACTTGCACAAATTTGCCTTTTTCTTAGTCTGCTCATCCTTCGGGCTGCGCACCACCCACGATCCCCTCCCTTTGCTCCGGCTCCCCCTTTCTTTCGCTACCTGTCTTCCACCACCTCTCTACGCGACCTTCCTCGCCCTTCTGGGCTCTTCACATTAGCGTCTCTGAACCTCTTTATGTATCTACCTTTTTTTCTCCCTGTCCCCCTCTTTATGGATCGCTCCCTGCTCACTACTTCTGTGCCAGTCTCTCTTCATCTCTCCCACAGTCCCCACAGTAGGAACAAAGTCACGATGTTTGCGCAGAACATGCCTCGCGTCACCCCTTCCCGGGCCGCGACATTCCACCGTGCCCCTCCGCGCATTCCAACTGCAAACAAAGAGTTCCTCTCCCCCCTCCCCCACTTTTCCCGGTCCCAATTCCTGAGAGATGTAGTAGCAGCTGCCCAAACTGCCCCTCAGCCGCCTCTCGCCTCCAGTCGGCGGGTCTCCACGTCCAGGACAGTTAGCATCAGCAGCACCCACCCCGCCAGCGTACGAGAGATCCCTGCGCAGACACCCCCGTTCCTCTCGCACACAGCGCTCCGCCCCTCCCGGAAAGTAGATCCGGCCAGGCAGACAAAAGTTTGGGAGAGAAGTTCGGTCTGTGCTGAGTGTGAGAGCGAGGGGGGCGGGGGCCGGGGAGAGTGGGGCGGCCGGGCGAGTGGACGCGTGAACAGACAGACCTGCGGACGGGACAGCCGCGGCCGTAGGCCCTTCTAGCTCCGCTTAACCCCTGATGCGCGGGGGGAAGCAGCCCCTCTCGCTGGGGGATGCTGCGGGATTCCCGGCGCCGGGCATCCGGGCCGCCGGCTAAACCCCTGTGCCTACCCCGTGCCCCCGGGGAACCGGAGTCCGGCCGCTGGGAAAGAGAAGCGGCCGCCGAGACGCTGCAGGGTGCCGGGCGGGGAGGGGGCTGGAGGCCCCAGGCCCGAGGGCATGGAGCGGTTAGGGGAGAAAGCCAGTCGCCTGCTGGAGAAGTTAAGGCTCTCGGACTCCGGCAGCGCCAAGTTCGGCCGCAGAAAGGGTGAATCTAGCCGGTCTGGGTCTGATGGGACCCCCGGGCCGGGCAAGGGGCGCCTGAGTGGGTTGGGGGTTCCTAGGAAATCAGGGCCCCGTGGAGCTACTGGGGGACCTGGGGATGAGCCGTTGGAGCCAGCCCGAGAGCAGGGCCCCCTGGACGCTGAGCGGAACCCGCGCGGCTCCTTTGAGGCGCAGCGCTACGAAGGCTCCTTTCCCGGGGGGCCGCCTCCCACCCGGGCCTTGCCTCTACCTCAGTCATTGCCCCCCGACTTTCGGCTGGAGACCACGGCCCCAGCCCTAAGCCCCCGCTCCAGTTTCGCCAGTAGCTCAGCCAGCGACGCCAGCAAGCCGTCCAGCCCCCGCGGCAGCCTGCTGCTGGACGGGGCGGGGGCGGGCGGAGCCGGAGGTAGCCGACCCTGCAGCAATCGTACCAGCGGCATCAGCATGGGCTACGACCAGCGCCACGGCAGCCCCCTGCCCGCCGGGCCCTGCCTGTTTGGCCCTCCCCTGGCTGGAGCTCCAGCGGGCTATTCCCCTGGAGGGGTGCCGTCCGCCTACCCGGAGCTCCACGCTGCCCTGGACCGACTGTGCGCTCACCGGCCCGCGGGGTTCGGCTGCCAGGAAAGCCGCCACTCATATCCCCCGGCCCTGGGCAGCCCCGGAGCTCTAGCCGGGGCCGGAGTGGGAGCGGCAGGGCCCTTGGAGAGACGTGGGGCGCAACCCGGACGACACTCAGTGACCGGCTACGGGGACTGCGCCGCGGGCGCCCGATACCAGGATGAGCTAACAGCGTTGCTGCGCCTGACGGTGGGCACGGGAGGGCGAGAAGCCGGCGCCCGCGGGGAACCCTCGGGGATTGAGCCGTCGGGTCTCGAGGAGCCGCCGGGTCCGTTCGTTCCAGAGGCTGCCCGGGCCCGGATGCGGGAGCCGGAGGCCAGAGAGGACTACTTCGGTGAGTGAGAGAAGTGGTTAGGGACGGGACGGGACCCGTCACCGCTTTCGTTCCCCACTGCCCCGACGGCCCAAATTGCCGGCGCCGGGAAGTCGGAGGCGGAGACGCGGAGCTAGAAAAGAGACAAGAGGGATTTCCCCTTCCCACCAGGTCTCAAATGGACCAGGGGTTCCTTATTCCTGCTACTCTCGACCCCCCTGATTATCTCGTGAGTCCCAGTTGAAGCTTTAGAGCCTCCGTTTTTCGTGGTAGGAGGCCTCGTCGGGAGGGGACCAAGTGGGGAGTGAGAGCATCCCCCCATTCTGCTCCCCCCTTGGCGGCGGTGCCCCGGCAGGCTTCTGCGCGCCGCGCCCCCACCCGGGCCCAAGCTCCGCCCGCAGGAATTCGGGGAATGCGCGGGTGGGGGGCGGGGCGGGCGGG